AGACCAGCGTGGGTTGGTTCCACCTGGTATGGTGCCGCCTGGAATAGACCAGCGTGGGTTGGTTCAGCCTGGTGTGGTGCAGCCTGGAATAGACCAGCGTGGGTTGGTTCCACCTGGTATGGTGCCACCTGGTGCAGACCAGCGTGGGTTGGTTCCGCCTGGTGTGGTGCCGCTTGGTGCAGACCACCGTGGGTTGGTTCAGCCTGGTGTGGTGCCACCTGGTGCAGACCAGCGTGGGTTGCTTCAACCTGGTGTGGTACCACCTGGAGGAGACCAGCGTGGACTGGTTCAACCTGGTGTTGGCCAGCATGGGTTGGTTCCATCAGGTTTGGTGCAGCCTGGCACAGATCAACGTGGTTTGGTTCAACCTGGCATAGACCAGAGTGGCTTAATTCAGCCCACCTCAGTACAGCCTGGGGCAGACCAGCATGGCTTGGTTCAACCTGGTTTGGTGCCGCCTGGCATAGATCAGAGTGGTTTGCTTCAGCCTGGCTTGATACAGCCTGGTGTAGACCAGCATGGTCTGATTCAACCTGTTTTGACACAACCTGGTACAGACCAGCGTGGCTTAATTGAACCTGGTTTGATGCAGCCCGGTGTAGACCAACGTGGCTTGGTGCAGCCTGTCTTGGTGCAGCCAGGAACAGATCAACGTGGATTGGTACAGCCTGGCACAGACCAACGTGACTTTGTCCAACTTGGTTTCATGCAGCCTGGTCCCTATCCATCTGGTCTGGTGCAGACTGGCGCATATCCACCTGGTTTCGTCCCTCCTGATATAGATCAACATGGTTTGGTGCAGCCTGGTGCAGCCCAGCCTAGTGCAGATCAACGTGGTTTGGTTCAACCAGGTGTAGGCCAGCCTGGTACAGACCAACGTGGTTTGGTGCAGCCTGGTGCTGTTCAGCATGGTTTGGTGCAGCTTGGTGCAGACCAGCGTGGTTTGGTTCAACCAGGTGCAGATCAGCCTGGTGCAGACCAACGTGGTTTGGTGCAGCCTGATGCAGACCAGCGCGGTTTTGTGCAACCAGGTACAGGCCAGCCTGGTTTGGTTCAACCAGGTGCACATCAGCTTGGCTTGGTTCAACCAGGTGTAGGCCAGCCTGGTGCAGACCA